AACGAGAGAGGAAATTTTCGACTTTGAGCTCTACATTTTCCTTTATATCCGTGATGAATAAAAAGCTTCTCTTTGTATTAGTTTTGTTCCGTAGTGAGGAAAACAATATTTCGTGAATGTATTCATTTCAACATTCATTTATTTGTTTTAATGCAGTCAGAGGCATGAGTGAGGATTTTTGTTTAATATGTGCGTTTGGGGAGGGTACATTTTTATTTTGGTCCATTACGAACTTTTGCAACTTCCTTTTTTTTTTGTTTGAGGAATTTAAATTTCATGAATTTAACTCAGGCAAAGCATGATTTGTGATTGCTTACTAGATCTGTTTGTTCAGCATAAAGTTTTCTATAAAGATGTATGATTTCTTGATATGCGGTATTGATTTCTCAAAAATGCTGTTGTCGCCCTATAGTTAACTTCCAAGGTTGTGCAGTCTTATTGTTATCTTCATAGATGTATTTTCATATTACGGGTTAGCTAATGAGATCAAGCTTAAATGCTGTCGTCCATGTTGTGCATTTTTTTTTTATCTTTAAAGATTCATTTTTAAGAGCACTTCATAATTATAAAGAATTATACATGTTTGTCATTCGCAGTTATATTTCATAGACAATCCTGATTAAAAGGAATTTGAAGAAGACATCTGTCGATAAGCGATAATTACATGTTTGCTCAACAGTTTATTTAACTTATAATTTCGAATAATTATAACGGTCAATTAAACTAATGCGAATTTCCCGGTGGAGATGGGATGTGGATAGAGAGAGGAAGCTTGCCATCAGTCAAAGCTGGGACCACTCCTTCCTTACATTCATCACTATTCGCTTCCCCATACTTAGAGCTTTAGTAATTAAAATTCAGGACGCTAACCAGCATTAATTTCAGTTATACCGGTGAACGCATGCCATGGGTGATTAAAAATTATTACTGCGATTTATCCATGCTTAAAACATTTTAACGAACCCAAAGATGTCATAAAAAACTATGGTGTGTGCTTTAGACCACACGATAGAAGTGAAAACATCAACAAAGCGAGATTAATAATATAAAATATAAATTATAAATAATAATTCATTAGGACCTATCAAGGCGGATGAAATACTGAACATTTCCCTCGCTTACAGTATGCAGATCCGAATTTTAGTTTCTGAGATATTTTAATCCATATATTTAATAAATCTGGTTATCGAAAACTTTGTCAGGCAACCGTCAGAGATGACGCAACATACAGCTTCACCCTCTCTTGCTACAATACCTCCATTAATTTTACTTCAAGTTTTTTAATTACCTACATAGTTTATGTTTCTCATTCCAATTGCTATCTGGTTCTTTTCTCAGCCCTGAATGAAGGCCTGAATTTCGGGTCGAAACGTCGGCAAATTTTAAAATAAACATTATTATTTATTTATGCCATTTTTATTTTGACTTATAACTAATGTTGCCCAAAATCGGTCTTGGTCTTGCACTTTGCAAGACCAAGACCAAGGACGCCTAACTGTTGCAAGACCAAGACCAGGACTGGTAAAAAAAATTATTTTTTAAATAAAAATCAAGGCAAAATAGTTACTAATACTCTACAATTTTAGTTACTATATGTTAATAATTGGTATAACCAATATACTTTTGCATTTAACTCTTCTAATTTTTCATTTGGGCTTTGTTAGGTTTCTCTTATCTAAAAAATTAAAGTAATATCTCTATAGTGATAAGCTGATAAGTAACTGCAAGACTGTTGCGATACTCTTGCGCAAGACCAAGACCATGACCAAGTCTGAGTTTGCAAGACCAAGACTCGTCTCGGTCTCGCATTTGGGCAACACTACTTATAACCCCAACTATTATTCACTACAACCCTTCTCTTTATTATTCACTACAATCAACCATCAATCCACAATTATAAAACTGATTATCATTTGATTTTCAACACTATTTTTTCCCTTTTTCCTTTTCTATCAGAGTGTCGCGTACATTTTGAATAATAGCTCATTACAAAGAGGATAAAATGATGAAAATTTCTCTTGCTAACAATATGCAAGTCCTTTTTTTTTAGTTTTTAAGATATTTTAATTGATATGAAAAAATACTACAATTAGTTGACTCCTACCGACTTTAACCAAGCGGCACATATCGGTGATCTGACGGCTCAATCTGATTCACTCTCCACTAAATGCAAAACGCGTTTAAAGAAGTTTTCACTTCAAAACTTTAAAACCACTTTGTGGCGGCATTTTTAAGTAATAAAATTAAAATAAATGGAAAATATATCTAATTTAGAAATAAATTCTTCATAATCTTAAATGATGAAATGGAAAAAACTTGGAAAATAATTATTGGAATATGAATATTTGTTTAAACTGGATTTTAAACTGTGGTTTCCCTATTCATTTATTTTTTTGTATCTTTAACTTCTCCTTTTTAGAACTTTTTAGCACTCAATATAATCTTCCAAATATATATTGTTTTCTAAACTTAGTTGCAAACGTATAATAAACGATATTTTTGTAATCATAATACACAATAATTAAATAATTTTTTTTTAAATTTTACGGAAAAAACGATAACCTTATGGAATCTACCTACATATCTACTTAAACACTGGTAAGTTGTTAGAGAAATCGGCTTATACGACGAACGAAATTCATGACTCTTCCATATGTTGACATGCACCGGTACATGGGACAAAATCCATTTGCCAGGAGTCTTAATGTGTAATTCCATGCACCCGACAACTACACCTAGTTTAAATATTCGTTGACGTCGATTTCTCCAACAATTTACCAAGTTGTTTAAGTACATATTCATGTGCATAACCTTAAGCTGAATAGAGTCTTTAATATTTTTTTTTTTTAATGAAATTATTCTTTATTTTAATGCTTTTAGTTTTTCAAGTATTGACAATTTATTTCAAGCATATATTATCACGCCTTGCACATATGATATGAAGTCAATAAAAATAAATTAAATATTTTATCCCAGTGTTTCAACTGCCTCCCGCAGTGCCACATCCTACGCCCTGAAGACGACCTGCAAAGTGGGTCGAAACGTCGGCAAAAATTAAAATAATTTATATATTTTAATTTTTTTATTTATTTGACCGCATTCTCGACTAACTCCTTCTCATAAATATTTTAAACATCGCTACTGTTAGTGAAAAAGTTCCTATTTAAAAATTTATTTTTTTACAGAAGAAAATAAAAATCGACTACTTCTTGATGATTTATTAATATGATTTCATATTTTATTTTGCTCTGCTATTTTCCTAATTAGCAGACTACTTATAGCAGTCGCGAACTACACAATGACACCTTCACAAAGGTTCATATATATATTTTTTTTAACGGATAGATTAAACACTTTCTATACTAATGTTATTGCTTGTTAACAACTAAATAACGATATATTTATAAATTATTCATTCATGTTAATAGGTTCACCGAAGTAATGAAAATGTATCATCTAGAATATTAGCTGAATTAGAACCATTTATTTTTTATATTTCATAAAAACGATATGTCTTAGCGTCTATACGACATGGCGGTATCAGTTCTCTCTTGAACTTAAGTTACTTAACTCTACTAAAAAATTTACCGCCTTAAATTTTGTCAAAGGATTCATTTTTTAGTTGTTAGCAAGCAGTAAACAATATAGAATTTCTGGTTTTTTGGTAAAAAACCTATGATTCAGAGCTTTATCGCGAGTCTGGCTACAAGTTTCCCATTGCACAAAAATAAAAAAAGTAATGGCCATATCTTTTGTTCTATCAATGGTTTAAAAAATGTTTGGAGAAAAACAGAAAAAATAAAATAAATTAGCAGTTTTTTTCAAGATGGCAAATCTTCAGAGGAGAGGATTTTTCAATTTAATTTCAACACAGAAAATGTATCAAAAAATCCCGTCTACTCTAATTTTCGTAACTATTTATGACAATTAAACTGAAAAATATTAGTCCGTAGTACAGACCTCCTTTTATCGAATTATTAACAACGGCCTGAAACTTCTTAAATAGTGTCATCTCATCGTAACTTGCAACTATTTTATTTTAGAAAATTCTAGGCGTTTTCAATCTGCAGGAGAGCAAACATTGTCTAGTTAATTAGGCCATTTACTTTCTACTTGGATCGTAAGATAATTTGACCACAAAATCGAAAAAAAAGGTGGCCTTCAAAAATATTGAGCCGTTTGGCGTGAGCCCAAATCTTCAAAATAACGAGGTTATATTTTTTTATTGATTTTGTGAACAAATTATCTTACGATCTAAGTAGAAATCAAATGCGCATTTACGAGTTTTTAGCACCTAATTAAATAGACAAAGTTTGCCCCCCTCCCCTCCAGATTGAAAACGCCCCAATTCCAAGAGTTTTCGTAAATAAAATAGTTGTAGGTTACGATGAGATGAAACTATTTACGAAGTTTCAGGCGGATGTTAATAATTCGATAAAAAGAAGTCTGTACCACGGACTGTATGTGCAAATTTCAACTATTACCTTATCTTGAATACTTTGTTATAAGCTTGAGTTATGGTTAAGAATTTTAATTAATAAAAATGAATCTTTTGACTGACCATATCGTCGGTTAATTGCCAAAAGTAACTGTGTACATTTTTTATGAAGCCAAACTTTTAAGTGCGTTTTAGTGAATTTTGATCCTATTTTTGGATACCAAATTAATTTAATCTAAATGACACAAAACGTTTTATAAATCAAATTAGATAATTAATTACATAATATTCAGATTTAATAGAGAGAAAATTCATCAAATTACTAAGTGGTTTAATTTTGTGAAATGAAACTAAATGACTTTTTGCAATAAACCAAATATGGTACACTTCAATCACTTTCCAACCGATTAATCCTGTCTGTAAATCCTAAACTGATTATATTGGAGCTTCCGAACTATTATTTCATTAATATCCAAAAGTAACTTCATTAGTCGAGTTAAATATCTAAATAAAATGTTGAATTAAAACATTATACCAGATTAATAATTTAAAAAAGCAATGTCTACTTACCATTGAGGTCGAAAGGTATTTGCGAACAAGAGGAGCCGGAATTGATATCGCAAGAGTAGACAGCGCCACCCTTGGTCACTCCTGGTTGGTCGGTTTGCGCCTTTGGAGCGCCCACCAAAACCCTGTAAAAAATAATATTATATTATATTTTTTATTATACGATTACATTTATTAATATATGATTATATTCATTATTACATGGATATATTTACTAATATAGAATTATATTTATTTAAGTAACATATTTATTAAAGAAGGTTAAGATCAAATTTTAAAATAATATCATAGGCTTAATTCAGCACTATAACAAAATTAGCTCTACTCACTGTAAAATCGCAATCAACTAATTAACATATTTAAAAAAAAGTAAAATAACACATACTATCATTAGCATAAAGATCATAATTTTAATATATAGAAAATAAAGGTACTCCTTTATTTTCGACCCTTCGCCGGTAGGGACGAAACCTCCCTTGTTATCTAATATTGCATTACATAACCTCCCTTCTTATCTCGTGTAAGCTCAGTTATACCATTGTTTATTTTTTGTTCCTCGTGTGAGGTATGAGTTATTCCATCGTTTATTTTTGTTCCATTAGCGTGATTTTCGTCAAATTATATTACATTATATGTGTCAAATTATATTACATTGCGGGAAGTGCCGAAGATGAGGCTACCAAATATTTTCAAGACGCCGGGATAATTTCAAAGGTGAAATATTGTGACGAAGGTCATGAAATGAAGTTCGACGGGAAGACGAAATGGAGATGCTTTCGTACCACTTGTAACAAAAATGTTTCTATAAAGAAAGATACGTGGTTAAGGGGATCGAGGATTTCCTTTTTATCGGCTTTAAAATTCTATTTAAAGTCTATTTAATAAATATGTTGTAAAATAAATGTATTTTTAATCAAACTTTAACATATTGTTTGACAACATATTGTTTTTAAGGAAATAAAAATATATTGAGAATAAACATAATTGTGACGGAAATAAAAAAAAACGTTGTGAACATTATGAGTCGATTCTTAAAATCGAAAATTAAACAAATATTCTCTTCAATCAAAATCCTAATCATAAAATTTATTTAATGATTGTAGAGCGTTCGTTTGGGTTTTAATATTCATATCTGAGGACGAGATTTATGGTATGAATGGATTTTAAACAACAAATGTCTGAATTAGACTCAAAGAGAAAGTCTTGAAACATTTTAACATCTGTGTCGATTCTTACCAGACGGTGGCGATAGATCCTCTCCAAGCATTTGAAATTGTCCAATTCGTCATCAATAATATTATAAAAATGGTCCAGTATGTTCAAAAAAGGACAATTAGAATGAATATAGAAAACTACTTAAGATCTTAGAAATTTGTAGTAATTAGTATATATCGTCGGTTTATTTCAAAAAGTTATTATGTGGCATTTCATAACCTTATCTGAATTTTTTTTTTAGAACAATTTTTTCTTAATGAAATCATAAACTTAGTGACTTTTTGCAATCAACTGACAATATGGATAAAACAGTGTTTTTAATTGATTTTTTTTTTAAATATAAATATTTATAAAAATTCTGACTAAAAAATGGACTCTATTTCATCTCAATAAGTGATCAAACAGGAAATACATCCAAAATAAGTTAGAGAGAGGACTGGCCCTAAAACGACCACAAGGTGGACATCCCATCCATTATCATTCACCAAGGACCATTGACGAGGGTGCTCTCATTGTGATATAGCGGAGGAAGCAATCAAGCCGAAATGCAAGATGAATTGTCAAGATGGTCCTAACCATCCCCGGAACCAATCAGCGATGAGAACGGCGCTCCGGGGTTGAGCTGGTTAATATTCTCAGCTCTCATCAAAGATGCACACCGCTCAACGGGAGCCATCTAATTCATACCGAAGGAACGTTAAAAATTCAAGCTATAAAAAATGGACGTGCTTCTAAACTGCATACTTATAGTAAATAAATAAATCATAAACACTGCACTGAGAAACAAGTTCCTAATATTAACAACCTGAAGTTAAAAGCCAGATTTAGATAGTTGTAGACACATTTAAAGTCGATCTCAACAAGATCTTTAGTACATGAGAATTGTAGTCTAAAAGGCAAGGAAGAGAAGAACAAAAAAAAAGTACATGAGAATTTTCGGATGCTGCAATAATACACTTTCTCGTAGAATTGTTATACATATTTACAATTTTCAAGATTGGATTTGGACTTCGTCAACAGTAAATTTAATCTTAAATAAACCATTAAAATCTTAGATAAACCGTAAAAGGCTATATGGGATTTTACCGGACCAGGGGATGTCGGCGGGATATTAATAACAGCGTTAAAAGCGCCCCGGCACCGAGACGTGAACTCGTAATTATTTGTAATTAAGTTATATCTTGTATCTGGTTACCACTCGGCAACCTCGCCTCCCAAAAACCATTAAAATCTGAAAATTATTAATACTCACAATTAAACTACCAGAAGGCCATTCCTCCAAGGGAAATAGCGCATGTCCTCTCCCCCTCCTCCCATCTCCGCCGCAAGAAACTGTTTTTCTTTATTTTATTAAAAATTGCTTTATTATCACTGATAGTAAATTTATTATAATATAGGTAGGTATTTAGCATACTTGTAGTGCGCTAAATTGTTAAGTTTTTATTTTATACAGAATAACAATCAGCCGAACGTAATATAAATACTAATTATTAGTCCTATGTATACATTTTCCGAAACCACGAAAATATTTTTTAGTCTCCAATTTTAACGCAAGGAAGGAACGTTTGGCAAGGTGTTGTTTAATGGCAGGATGAAATGTATAGGAGGTTGCATATCTGAATATAAAGTAGCAATCACTAGTCAATTCAGTCCCGAAAAACGTGGGGAAAAATGCATCTCTCCAAAAAGAATAGCCGGATGCTAGTTAATGGAGAGAGGAAATGCGATTCCTTGCGAAAAACGTGAAAAAAAAGTGTAATTATTCTAAAAAGGTTTCGAATATCATTCAAACCACAGCGAAGCCTTGGATAAATATCTTTATAAGGTTGCTCTTGGTCAAATGGAAATTTACACTATTACTAAATGAACAAAAATTATCTTTTTTAATAAGTGATCATAGATGGAGAATGAATGATATGATAAATTAATTAAATTTACGCCTATAAAATAAAATTCATGGAGGGTCATGTAGAAAAATATACTCAATTATAATACAGTAGTGTTGGTCCCCTTTCTGAAGGAAGGACTTGAATTTCATGGAGATTTGGCCGAATGCCAATTTAAAATCTTCAAACTTTGGTAGTACTACAGTCGTTGTAGTAGTAATAATCATTAAAAAATTAGTAAGTTTCAAAAGTTGACAGATCGAGACGGTATAATTTCTGTTTTAAAAATTTCCACGCGGACATCAAGACTCGCATCAGTTTTAAGGGTCTAAAATTTTTTAAATAAATCGTGATTCTTTCCGAAAACTTGGTTGGCGTTTCATTTTAATCGGAATAGATACATTTGTTGTTTTTAAAAATTAAAATATACTTCATACATTATAATATATGAATAATATATTATAATTATAACATACTTCGACGAACTGAAAATCTAGTGAAAAAGTGGCAAAATGGAGCATAAGTCTATGATCACTTAGGTATTTTTTTATTTTATTATTATTATTATTATTATTTTTTTTTGTGTCCTCCCCTCCCTCGCCTTAAAGGCTGTACGGGGTTTTCGGGTTGCGGGGATTTAAATGACTCACCCGCCACCGGGACGCGAACTCGTGACTATTTTAAATCCATTGTATCATAGATCAGGTTGCCAGGCAACGTCGGTGCTGTGCACATACGTTAGCCCGTTCGGCCACAGCGCCCACATCTAGGTATGGCTGTACTATACTCTCAGAGCGCCCCTCAAGACCGACCGGCGACCCCAACAGGCGCCCCTCCAGTTCGGCGCCCATGGACGATTGTCCCTGTCGCTTCACCCAAAAGCCAGCACTGATTATATATACATATAAATGTGTTTTGCTAATGCCTCAAATACATCGAAGGGTTTAGAATAGCTACTTGATATGGGAGTTCTCACTGGGGTATACTAGTTCTTTCAAAGTAAATAAGTAGCAGTTCCAGTGACATACTGAACAGAAGGTGAATGGTGACAAGAACCACTCCAGTCGAAGAGTTGTTCAAGTGCTATTGTCTCCTGGGCCCGGCACATTGTCACTGTCGCCCCTTCTCATGATATGCCTTATGTCATGGAACAGCTGTCTTCCACTCTTCCACGGTGGCCTGAACTAACCACACTGTCAGAAAACGAATTTTGAACAATCTTTAAGATTTTTTCGTTTAATTGTTTTTGTGTTTTCCGTTTAGCTTTATGTATCTAATTTGTTTGTATTTTTTATTTTGTCTGTTAAATTAAGTTAAGCAGCCACTCGCGATTTCGTCTGGATTTTACTTCTATCTATCTTCTACGTCTTATGATTCTCTTCTTCAGCTTCTGCAACTAGAGGTAGAGATCTAGGAGCTCAGAATTGTTCTGATTTGGATTGCGTTGTATTTCTCACGTCCAGTAGCGAAAGCATATGTTTAAACACGTCTCGCCCATTATTGCTCCAAATTAGAGAGTCTGTTTGTAAATAAGTTTTTTTTTAAATAGTCATGGCCAGCAATCTAGTCCACGGTACAAACATCTCCTTATCGAATTATTAAAATCCGCCTAAAATTCGTAAATAGCTTCATCCCATCGAGACCTAAAAATATTTTATTTACAAAAACTCTTGGAATTGGGGTGTTTTCAATCTGGAGATTGAAATCGAAACAAGGGTAGTTTTGATTATACTTCTGCCCTTTCTTGATTTTATCTTAATTTGATCGTCATACGTGCTTTACTTTTATAGAAATTTTATGATATATGTTCAAAATAGACCCACTTAGTACTTCACCTGACCAATAAACATACTTAATGTTTAGTTTATTACTGGTAATAGTAACAGATAGTTCGTAGCTAGGAAAACGACAAGAAAAAGACTGGACTGTAAGTAGTTGGTTCAAGGATTTCAGTAAACGAAATTCAAAAATTCTTCAGAACAACGAGCTGGTAGTTAATCCCGAAGGGTAGTGACCTCACAAATGCCTGGGATGCCAACTGTAACCACATACAAATCTCAGCCGCTTATGGACACAGTTCTGTCTGAATCCAATATGGCAATAAAAATTCGTATATATTCGCACGAGTGTATACATACACACTATAAAATTCCTTTTTTTAACACAACAGGGAGCCTCATATCAAGTGTCCCATAAAAACACATAATTAAGAATGTGTCTATTATATATATATATATATATATATATATATATATATATATATATATATATATATATCACGTTTAAAATAAGAAATGTTACGGTATTGTATTATTAAGAGGCTGGATGGTAGGGTGGGCGAACGCGTGTGCAAAGCAGTGCGTTGCCCGGCAACCTGATGGAAAATAATATGATAAAGTAACTACGAGTTCGCGTTCCGGTCCTTTTAACTCTGGTATTAATAGTTATAGACCGATTAACTTAACCTCTTCTATTTGTAAATTGATGGAGAAATTAATAAGCAATAGATTATTATGGTATCTGGAATCCAAAACTGTACTGCCACCTTGGCAGAGTGGTTTTTGGCGAAGAAGAAGCACGAGAGATAATTTGGTTAGTTTAGAGACTGGATATTTTAAATGACTTTAAAAACAAGAAAAAAATTGTAGCTGTGTTTCTTGATATAGAAAATACATTCGATGGGACATGGAGAAGACTAGAAGACTAATAATTGACACCCTGGTTAGAATTGGAATTGATGGTCATGTACTTGCCTTCATAAATAATTTTCTAACAAATAGAACTTTTATGATTAGGATTGGTAATGTCCTTTCCCATGGATTTGAACAGGGGAATGGAGTGCCCCAGGTTTGTGTATTGAGTGCGACACTTTTTTGCATTTGCCTTAATCAGATGTTGAATGTTATTAAGCCACCTGTCATTGGCTACGAATGAAATTGATAAATTCTTTTCTTTTCTGAAATGTTCTAAACTTAAAAATATAATCTAATTTTCAATGAAAATAAGGCAATAATGACCTTAGTGGTTGAAGCCTTAAAAAAAAAAAAAAAAAAAAAAAAAAAAAAAAAAAAAAAAAAAAAAAAAAAAAAAAAAAAAACGTGATATTAATCCTCCGCCCTCATCCTAAGTCCGGGGAAACCACGTATAGCCTTAAAGGCGAGAATAGGATAAATATGACAGGAGAATAGGGCAAAATATGATTTGACCATGTCCTGAGGTGGTAGAAAACATATAGGCCAACGCTATACATTTATCTCATAACCCTAATTAATTCTCACCCAGAACAGTGAGAGAAGACCTGTCAACTAAATTACTTATACGCAATATATTGTGCGTTATAAGCAACAGGAAAAACAAAGAGAGACCAACAAAAATAGAAAAAGTTGAACATATTTCTGAAAACATACAATAGAAATGGTATGGATATTTTTCTCTGGACTGGTTGACAGCACCAAATTAAGCAACGAAATCCTGAAAGCATCCTGCGGGTCACGGGCGGATCTACGGGAGAGGCTTTCGGGCTAAAGCCCTCCCCCCCCTCCCCCAAAATGGGAAAATATAACCATGGAAATAATATGAAAAAATTATCTCTCAAAGTGTTATTGTTCGTGTAATTACATTTAAAAGGGCTTTAGGAATCACTTAAACACCATTTCATATAGGTAGTTAGTTTCTTTCTTTTTTTCCAAAGTAATTATCGTTATTTTTATAAGAAAAAAAAACTTTCGGGCTGAAGCCCCTCCCCCCCAAAAAAAAAAATAAATCCTGGATCCGCTAGTGCTGCGGGTTA